CCTTAGTTCCAAAGAGCAGATTCAAACAGTTGCTAATCGGGAAAGTGAGGGAATGCAGAAACAAAGGAGGAGCAATCAAGAAACAGTAGTGCAGCTATTAAAGCAGGGTCCTGGTTCCTCCTCAAGGGATATACATAACAGTATCTTTGAATTCTTCTGCAGTAACTAAGGCCTCCACCCAGGTGCAAGATGGTAACTATACATGCTGAGACTCCAGACTGGTTGAAACCAGAAAGCTGATGATTGACAATCCTGTAACACCCCCTATTACCTCACCACCAACCAATCAAAAAACAGTTACACACCCTCCAGCCCTCACCCCAAATTTTGCCTATAAAATCTTCTCCCTGAAAACCACTGGGGAATTTGGATTTTTTGAGTGTGAGCCACTGGTTCTCCTTGCTTGGCCATGCAATAAACCTTTTGTAACAGGGAAGAGCAAATTCTGACTCCGTGTTGGTTCTGTTTCTTTTACTTTAACCTTTGCTTTTCGTTGCTTTTGTTATTATAATCACTGTCTATAGCCATAAGCATACATAATGGCCTGCCACAGGGAACCCTGTCCCTCTGCCTGACTGTTAAACTAAAAGGCCTTTGTTCAGCTCACAGAGAGACATTCTGACCCTGCCCACCTGCGAATGGCTGCAGAAAAGAAGAAATGAATACATCCCCTCCCCAATGAGGGCCAAGTGAGGAGATATTTTGCAAGATAAATGGCCTTTTTACTTTACTTCCTCACCTCCTCCCCCTCTCTGTTCTATAAAAGAAACGGGCATCCAGACCCCAGTAAGATGGTTTTTTGGGTACACTAGTCCACCATCTTCTCGGTCTGCCGGCTTTCTGAATAAAGTCGCTATTCCTTGCCTCAACACCTCGTCTCCCAATTTATTGGTCTGTCGTGTGGTGACCAGAGTGAACTTGGACTCAGTAACACTTTCTCTGCCCCAAACTGTGGCATTTCAGTTTGTCTGGCCTCACTGCATGTCAGGCACACAAACTAGTGTTCGGTAATAAAACTTCATTGGGTAAGAGAAATACTGAGTACTGACCCCCAAAAGGCTAATATATACCAATAAGGAAATTGTGAGTTTACATTCAGCCCTAGATCTACAAAAAGGAAAACATTTCACTTTTAAATAATGAAAAAGTTATTCAAATACATAGAAACAAACTCTCATATTAGGCTTCACTTTTCTAACTCTATAAACTGAAGCTACTACAATTTAAATATCAAGTTTTTTTTTAACAGCTATAGTGAGTACAATTTACACACTATGTAACTGACCACTTAAAGCATACAATTCAATGGCTTTTAGTATATTCAGAGTTATGCATCCATCACCATAATCAATTTTAGAATATTTCCAATACTCCAAAAAGAAACCCAGCACCGCTTAGCCATCATCCCCAATCCCAACATTTCTCTCCTCCCCTGGCAGCCCTAGGCTACTACTAATCTACATTCTGCCTCTGTGGGTTTGCTTATTCCATTTCATATAAATGGAATTATATGATAAGCAGTCTTTGTGACTTCCTTCTTTTCCTTAGCATAATGTCTTCAAGGTTCAAACGTGTTATAGCATGTATCAGTATGGATTCTTTTTATTGCATTGCATTGATATGCCACATTATATTTATCTATTCATCAGCTGATGGACATTTGGGTTGTTTCCACTTTTTGGCTATTTATGAGTAATACTGCTATGAATATTCATGTACCTAATTTTAAACTTAAGTAATTCTTGCTTTAGGGCTTAGATGCATCCAAGGAAAGTAAGTATTACACAATATTTGCTTTATCAGTGATTGCCACTCATAAATCATCTTTTCCCAAGGAAAATATTCCCTAACAGCCTGATTTAAAGGCATCAAGAAAGTCCCTCCGAAAACTGTTTCATCCTTTAACAGATTCAAACACACACATATTTATTGCATGGCTACGGGATGCAACTTACCGTTTATGATGGATTGATAAATTTGAAATATTAAACATTTTTTTTCCCTGTATTCCTTTGCACTTCTTGCTCTTCTCCCTCATTCAGGCATTCATTGCCTTGGGGAATGCATACCTCAGAGAAGAGCAGGGAACAAAGTAATTGGCTTTGGGCTTTTGAATCTCAAAAGCCATGCAACAAATTTGGGAACATAGGTGATGAATTAGATCAAAGCTTCCTCCCAAGAAGATTAGGTTCTTTGGAATTGAGGAAGAGGGAGCGTATGAGGAAAAATGAGCCCAGGAGGGGAACATGGAGAATTATCCATGAAGGTTCATGAGATCAGAGAGCAAAGTGAAGGCATGCCTCACTTCTTAGGTAGTGCCCACTAGAGGTACCATGATCTCAGAGAAGAAATGTCCACGTGGTGTGCCTAGGCAGAGAGAATCTAGACAGCCTCCCAGAGGCTCAGCTTCCTCTTCTGTGAAGGGAGAAGGCTGAAATTATGAAGTCTGCTGAGAGTGGCTCTGGGATAGCACAGGGTTTCAGCTTCACAGAGTGATTCAAGGCTGAGGAAACGCAGGAATTCTGTGCATTCAGCAGAAATACGGAGCATAACAAGGAACATCCCTGGACCTGACTTGGAACAAGGGTTGAGGTGGCAATGACCCATGTGGACCAGTGACCAAGGTCCAGAGTAGATTTCAGAGACTTTAACAGATACCAGTGTGGCTAAGTGACAACCAAAGACCAGACCCCTCCCCATCTTAATCTCATGCCCCAGGAATGTTGTCAAAATCCTCATTCCCTGGATCACAAGATTTTATCCCTTTTCTGGAGATGGCCTATCTGTTTTCTCTGGCCGCTCCAAATTTTGCTACCTTCATGTCCTTGCATCTGACCTCACCTTGAGAGGGAAAGGGAGGGAGAAGGGTGCAACCATTAAAAGAATGACAGAGCTATTGAGAAAAACAGGATACAGCAAAAAATGGTTAGAACCAACTAGGCCCAAGATGGCAGAAGATGTGACTTCCAGTAGCTTTTGAGCCTCATTATATGCTCATTGTAATACATTAGCATGCTAAATAACACACCCACCAGAGTCATGACAGTTCTGAGGCTGACCATAAAAGGCAAAAAAGTGGGCAGTGGCCCAATTATTTGAGGGAAGGGGTGGAAATCCCCACCCCTTCCCTCAAATAATTAGGATATTCCTCCCTCTCGTTAGCATATGAAATTACCCAGCTCATAAAAACTAACAACCCCATATCCCAGGGCTGCTCTCGCCTTCTGAGACAGACCACATTCTGCCTATGGAATGTGTATCTCTCTAAATAAACTTGCTTCCACTTTGCTTTGGCTTGCTCTTGAATTCTTTCCTGGGCAAAGCCAAGGACCCTCACATGGCACCCATTCTAGGGACTCACCCAAGACCAGGGACATGACCGTTCTCTTGCTCCCCTTGTCCTGCAACATACTCACCCTCCTCCCTACTATATTAGGTCCTCCTATAACACACACCCCATACTTGGAATTATTTGTTTAATGCCTGTAATCTTTAATTGACTATAAGGACCATGAGGAAAGGTAGCATATCTGTCTTATTTACTCAGCACTTAGCACAATGTCCGATATGATACATAACAAGCTGTCAATTAATGGTTGAATAACTTTTTCCTACAGGAACACACAAATGTACAGAATATACATAGAAGGCTGTTGATTGCAGCACTGTTGGTAACAATATAGTTTCAAACTAAATGTCCATCAATAGGGAAGGAATGAAGTAAATTAGAGTAATTAGAGTTCCTCTGTAATATGGAATAATTTGCCTAAGCAAAAATAATCAGAAAGAAAAAAAAAACCTTAAAATTTATTTCAAAGTCAAGTTAGATATTATTCCTGAATTTTGTACTGCCTTAGATAATCAATGCCATCGCCATCCTCCCCATATCACATAGACAACTGACTTGACGCTGTCCTTTGAAAAACACAAGTTCAAAACCTGAAATTCTGTATACTCTCATGAGTTCTTACAAGGGTCCCCATGATTTAGGAAGATTGTAAGCATTTATCAGGATAGCCATTGGTTATCACCAATGATTGTCACCATCATCATCACTGACATTTACTGAATGCTTACTATGTGTCAGGCACCCATGCAAACACTTGCTATATGTTATCTCATTTTGAATCCACATAACCACCCTTATTTTTTTTTTTTTTTTTTGCGGTACGCGGGCCTCTCACCGCCGCAGCCTCTCCCGTTGCGGAGCACAGGCTCCTCCGGACGCACAGGTCCAGCGGCCATGGCTCACGGGCCCAGCCGCTCCGCGGCATGTGGGATCCTCCCGGACCGGGGCACGAACCCGCGTCCCCTGCCTTGGCAGGCGGACTCTCAACCACTGCACCACCAGGGAAGCCCTACCACCCTTATTTTTATACCACTTTACAGATTAGGCTCAGGGACTGTGGCAGAGAGACCATAAAATAACTCAATGATTCTACCTCCTGGTGTTCACACATTTGTGTAATCTCCTCCCCTGAGTGTGGGAGGGACCTGTCACTTGGCTCTAACAGAACATGGCAAATGTGGTGGGGTGTCACTGCCGTGATTACCTCATGTCACATAAGACAAGTCTGTTTTAGCAGGCTGCACTCAGAGACTCTCCCTGCAGGTTTGATGAGGTAAGCAGCCATATGGGAGAAGCTCACGTGGCAAAGAATTTCAGAAAGCCTCTAGAACCTGAGGGCAGTTGACAAGCACCAAAAAGTGGGGGACTTCAGTCATATATTCAGTCATACAGCCTCAAGGAAATGAATTCTGACAACAACCTGAATGAATTTGGAAGCAGATTCTTCCCCAGTACAGCTTCCAAATAAAATCCAGCCTGGCAGATACCTTGTGGCAGCTTCGTGAGACCCTGAACAGAGAGGATCCAACTAAGCCACGCTCAGACTCCTAACATCATGAGGGACTAAACGTGTGTGGTTTTAAGCCACTAAGTTTGCGGTAATTTGTTATGCAGCAATAGGAAATAAATACAGAGAGGTTAAGTTTCTTACCTTAGACCCCACATAAGTTGTGGGACTGGATATCCTACTTGGGTCTGTCGACTCCCATGTTCGTCAGGGCCAAGCCCTGCCCCGCTCCATCTACGTGGTGCTTTCAAGATTGTTTCAGATCCAAGAACGGGGATCATCAGAAAATCTACAAACAACAAATGCTAGAGAGGGTGTGGAGAAAAGGGAACCCTCTTGCACTGTTGGTGGGAATGTAAATTGATACAGCTACTATGGAGAACAGTATGGAGGTTCCTTAAAAAACTACAAATAGAACTACCATACATACGACCCAGCAACCCCACAACTGGGCATATAACCTGAGAAAACCATAATTCAAAAAGAGTCATGTACCATAATGTTCATTGTAGCACTATTTACAATAGCCCGGACATGGAAGCAACCTAAGTGTCCAGCGACAGATGAATAGATAAAGATGTGGCACATATATACAATGGAATATTACTCAGCCATAAAAAGAAACGAAATTGAGTTATTTGTAGTAAGGTGGATGGACCTAGAGTCTGTCATACAGAGTGAAGTAAGTAAGAAAGAGAAAAATAAATACCGTATGCTAACACATATATATGGAATTTAAAAAAAAAAGGTTCTGATGAACCTAGGGGCAGGACAGGAATAAAGATGCAGATGAAGAGAATGGACTTGAGAACACGAGGAGGGGGAAGGGTAAGCTGGGATGAAGTGAGAGAGTGGCATGGACATATATACACTACCAAATGTAAAACAGATAGCTAGTGGGAAGCAGCCACATAGCACAGGGAGATCAGCTCAGTGCTTTCTGACCACCTAGAGGGGTGGGATAGGGAGGGTGGGAGGGAGATGCCAGAGGGAGGGGATATGGGGATATATGTATACATATAGCTGATTCACTTTGTTATACAGCAGAAACTAACACACCATTGTAAAGCATTTATACTCCAATAAAGATGTTAAAAAAAAAAAAAGTTGTATCACCTTTGGACATCATCTAGAAGTCATTCTTCTTCACCATTTGAATAAAGGTCACCTTTGTCTTCCATGAGAAAATAAAAATATAATATTTAAAATAAATAAATAAATAAAATAGATAACCAACACGGGGGGAAAAAAAAGATTGTTTCAGATCCAAGCTTGCACTCCAAAACATGACTCAGCTGAGTTCCTCTAATCACTCAGACCAAACGACCTTCCCTGTCTTGGATCACCTAGCAGACCTCACTACCTTCTCATGCAGGCTACAGCTGCGTGATGGAGCAATGATAATACGGGCCCATCTTGGCCCCTGTTTGTTAGGTGTCAGTGATTAGTGGCCCTGGAAGGACTTCCTAGAGACATGGGCTCCCATGCACATTCCCTTGGTCCCACAGTGGGGCTGGATGTGGGGATGCTTAGTTAGTTACTCAGTGAACTGGACGGCAGCAGGCATACTGTAGCACTTGGCTTTTGATGATTTGCTGCTCAGTGGCATTAGTATGATACCTATCAGTGTCCTCCTAATCAGAACAATCACCTAGTCTTGAGCTCCCAGAATTCCCTAAGAATATCAATTTATGAGAAAGGATTATGGCATTTAGATATGGTACTGTGCACTTCTATTATTGTCTGGTGAAAGCATTTGTAAACTACATGAATCAGGTTACTACTACACTAAACAATGTACCCAAGAAACAAATGAAACTCTCTCGTATATCATGAGCCATAAAACTATAGTAGTTCAACCATCCAACATCACATCAGTAACTAGAACTTACAAATTTCTTCTTTACACTAAGCTTTCATGAAAATATTTTCCTTATTTCAATGTATCCTCCTATAAAGGTAGATGGAAAAAATCAATATGCAGGGATGCAAAAAGAAAAGGGAAATAATACATATCTTGTATTGTCATGAGTCTTGTTACAGGTGGAAGCATTTAAAGAAGCAAATGTTTAAAATAATGACATTATGTAAGTGCATAGTTTATAGCTTGTTTACACATTCATTAGTTTAACTCACATTTGTCATATATCCACCAAGTTCAGAGGCCTACTATGTACCTGGAAAGAATTCAAAAGAAAAAGAAATATGGTCTCTGCTTCCAGAGGCTTTCTAACTATATGGATCTGAAAATAACCACATGGGCTAATTCAAGCACAGAGAGCCACAGAGGCATATCTTGCCATTCTTTTACATGTATTTCACCAGTACACATGAACATAGAGAAAAGCTTGGAAGTACATCACAATGTTAATCGTGGCTATCTTTAGGTGGTGAGATTTTATGTAATCTTTAAAAATTACATTTATTTCCTAAATAAAATAGCCCTTAAAAATAAAAATAATCATGCATAGCTATTAAAGATCTTTTAAACCACTAGGTCTAGGGAATTCCCTGGTGGTCCAGTGGTTAGGACTCAGCGCTTTCACTGCCGTGGTTCAATCCCTGGTCTGGGAACTAAGATCCGACAAGCCTCGAGGCCAAAAAAAAAAAAAAAAATTAACCACTAGGTCTAACGTTAACTAAACAAATCCTCCAAAACAGTGATGCATATCCATTCCTCTCTGAGCAAAAAACCATTTGGGGAAAAGAAAGAATATTAACAGTCTCATATTCTTTTTTTAAAAAAATATGTCTTGGGAATTCCCTGGAGGTCCAGTGGTTAGGACTTCGCACTCTCACTGCCAAGGGGAAAAATAACAAAAAAACAAAACCAAAAAAGTAGACCAAAAAAATGTCTTTTAAAGTTGAGTGATACATACAATAGTGCTTAAGTGTTCCTTCATTAATCCCCTCAGTAGAGGGTAATAAGTTCAGGCTTATTTTTTGTTTTTGCTTTGACTAAAACGTCAAAAACTTTATAGAAGTGCATGTTCTGAAAGATCTGATTGTAACGCAGCACCTTTGAATCAGTTTGCAGGAGATGAGCCCCCAGAAGGCTGGAGGAAGGGGTTCAAGGGATTGGGAGTTAAGGAAATATCTGGCAGAAGTCAGCCACAGATTTAAGGCAAACACTGTAACCCCATTAGATACTGGGAAGAAGTGGCAGTATATTGAGCACGAAAGCAAAATACTCTGTAAATGATTTTCTTGGCTGCCTGTGTATTAAATGGCTAGAAGGGGATGTTCTCACTGCGACTCCCCAGAGAAACAGAAGGGGCGGGCCCTCTGATCTATCTTCCTGAGCACTCTCCTGACACTGTCAAAGGCCACTCACACTCATGCTGGACACTCCATCCTGGGTCCACTTCTGGACAGCACAGAGGGCTTTTTCACTGTGGGTGGCGGGTGAAGTGAGAAAGGCTCTTTATGTGTTGACTTTGATATGTGAGTTCTCTATTCTTCAAATGAAATCTCTTAGCAAGTGGTGAAGCCCAAAGGGCTGAGTTTGCTATACACCTCATTTTGAATCCACATAACCACCCTGTGAAATAGGTTATTTTTATACCAACTTTACAGATTAGGCTCAGGGACTGTGGCAGAGAGACCATAAAATAACTCAATGATTCTGCCTCCTGGTGTTCACACATTTGTGTAATCTCCTCCCCTGAGTGTGGGAGGGACCTGTCGCTTGACTCTGACAGAACATGGCAAACGTGGTGGGGTGTCACTGCCGTGATTACCTCATGTCACATAAGACAAGTCTGTTTTAGCAGGCTGCACTCAGAGACTCTCCCTGCAAGTGTGGTGAGATAAGCAGCCTCATCAAACCTGCGAGGAGACACAGTCCATGCACTGCTGCATGCTCCACAGGGCGGGGGGGATCACGGCTAACATCATCTTCATCACTGGAGACCTGGTTCCTGCCATAGGGCTCAGCACAAAATAGGGGCTCAACAGGTAGTTGGGAAGTGAGGCAATGAAGGAGTGAAAAAATGCCAACTTTCCTTCGGTCACTTTGAAAATCTCTCACCTGGGTTAACATCGGTAGCCTCCTGATCTTGTCCTTTATACTTTCACTCCTCTATAATCCATTCTCCACACAAGAGCCAGGATGATCTTTTAAACAACAAATCAGGTTCTAAAATTAGATCATGGTGATTGTTGCACGACTCCGTAAATGTTAGAAACCACTGAACTGCACATTGAATTCAAATGGGTGAATCTTAAGAGTACGTAAATTATATCTCAATTAGATTGTTTAAAAATTCTCATTCCCTTAAAACCTTTCACTTGTTCCCATTTCACTTATTCACTCAGAATTCACCAGGTTACTTACAATGACCTACAGAATCCTACCTATCCCATGGGCTCTGCCTCCCTTTCCATTCTCAGCTCTCATCACCGCTTGCCTCCCACTAGTCCCTGAATCTGCCCATCTTGTCCCTGCCTTAAGGTCTCGCACTTGCTCTTAGCTTTGTCCGATACTCTTCTTCATCATATTCTGAGCGATGCCTCTTACCGTTCAGGTTGTCCCATGTTAGCCCACGCTATTGTCAATCACTACTCTACAACTCCACCACCCCACACACTTTCTATCATATTACTATTTATAGCACTTCTCACTCTTTGACAAAAAATTTTTTAATTGTTTTCCTTACTGGAATATACACTCTTTGAGAGTAGAGAATCTTGTTGCTTACCTCTGAAGAACATGCCTGAAACACACAGTTGGTACTAACAAATACAAGTTAAATGTTGATTGCCTGGTTCCTGCATAGACAGTTTATTCTGCCAAGGCTGTCGGGGAAAAAACTAGTATCTACCTTAGTGTATCTTTCTAAGAAAAAAAGATGTTTTAAAAAATGCACTGCTTTGGAACGATTTGTTATTTTTTACATGGCATGGCAAAATTAGCAAGCTTCTAATTTCAGTGAACAGATTAAAATAATGTTAATATTCCACTATACAAGACGTATTATAACACTGTGAAATTTTCAAACATATACACCCCTATGGGGCGGGGGGATGGCAGCAGATCTTCCATCCAGACCATTATTAAGTGGCATTTGCAGACTTAAAAGCATTTGGATATTTACAAAAACATCTAGATCATAAGAGTTTCCTCATTCTACTTTCCTTGATTGTTTAGAACTCTTAGAAAGCCAAGGTAATATATGTAAAAAATATACTTAAGAAAAGTTTTCCTTTTAATACTACACTCCTGTTAATTATAATTTCAATGATATAGTTCAATCATAGCCACATGCTCTAAACTACTTTTAATAACATCTAATTCACACAAGACTTTGCTGCTTCAAAGTGCTTAAACAGCCTATGAGTTATATCATTAGCACTTTTGTGAAGGAAGGAAAAGTTCAAAGAGTTAGAGACACTTGCCCAAGGTACCACCACTCGTAAGGAGGGATTCTCCCCGTGTTTTTCTGACAAATCACTTGCCCTTTCCTCTTAAGGCCTCATCTCGGAAATCATCACTGTTCTCCTTACAAATTATACAACAAGAAGTGATAGCAATCGAAAGTACTCCAGGGAATTAAGAACTGGGAATAGTAAATAATGCAACTATGAACACTGGGGTACACATATCTTTTCGAAGCAACCTAAGTGTCCATCGACAGATGAATGGATAAAGATGGAATATATAATGAATGATGAATGGATATACAATGCAATACTACTCAGTCATTAAAAAGAAGGAAATTTTGCCATTTGCAACGACATGGATGGGCTTGGAGGGCATTATGCCAAGTGAAACAAGTCAGACAGAAAAAGACAAATAGTTTATGATATCACTTACATGTATAATCTAAGAAATACAACAAACTAGTAAATATAACAACAAAAAAAGCAGACTCAGAGATACAGAGAACAAACTAGTGGTTACCAGTAGGGAGAGGGAAGCGGGGAGGGCAATATAAGGGTAGGGGAGTAAGAGTTACAAACAATTAGGTATAAAATAAGCTATAACGATATATTATACAACACAGGGAAGATAGCCAATATTTCATAACTATAAATGGGGTATAACCTTTAATAATTGTGAATCACTATATTGTATACCTGTAACTCATAAAATATTGTACAGCAACTCTACTTCAAATTAAAAAATCTCAAAGGCATTATAATGAGTGAAACATAAAAAAGAACTGTAAATAGAATTAAGTGATTGGCATTCAATCAAAAATTACTTCATTTTGATAATCTATATATTCCTGAAAAGTCATCAATTTGGCCTTTAGCATCACAAATTATACACAATCTAATCTGTGTTTGTTGTGGCAATACTGACTTATGGAAATATCTTTGTTTTTGGTATTTTTAAAAACTGGTTTCCCATAGTTTTTATTAATACAAACTACAGGTTCAACTTTTAAAGCTTTTCAGAAGGAAATCAGTGTTTCAATAAGTAACACTGTGTATCAGGAAATATCCTTATACTAGCATTTAAGAAGTGCTTGCTTACATCCAGAGTTTTAAAAAATCATTAGCATGGGAGGTTTTTAAGATTTTACGTTCTACGTGGAACCTCGCTGACATTAAATGATCGACACCCTTTTCTAAACCTACGGGATGCCTGATACTGATTTCTGTTTCAATTGTTAAGATGCATTAGTTTCTCAGAGGTCTCTGATAAATCTATCCAACTAATCTTCAAGGATTTCTCCTTAAGCTCTATATACTTAGCATTCCCACACAGCCCCACACAGCTTTTCCAAGGCAATTCTAAAAACCAGTATATCGGGCTTCCCTGGTGGCACAATGGTTAAGAATCCACCTGCCAATGCAGGGGACACGGGTTTGAGCCCTGGTCCAGGAAGATCCCACATGCCACGGAGCAACTAAGTCTGTGCACCACAACTAGTGAACCTGTGTGCCGCAACTACTGGAGCCCGTGTGCCTAGAGCCCATGTTCCGCAACAAGAGAATCCACCGCAATGAGAAGCCCGCGCACCACAAGGAAGAGTAGCCCCCGCTCTCCGCAACTAGAGAAAGCCTGAGCGTAGCAACGAAGACCCAATGCAGCCAAAAATAAAATTAAACCCAGCATATCCTTACATAAATATCTAAGCACTTAATCTCTAGAGACACCACTTGGGCTGCTATTCCAGCTAATAAGATTAATAATTTTGTTTTTTTAGTTTTATTTATTTGGGGCTGCATTGGGTCTTCGTTGCTGCACGCGGGCTTTCTCTAGTTGCAGTGAGCGGGGGCTACTCTTTGTTGCGGTGCATGGGCTTCTAACTGCGGTGGCTTCTCTTGTTGCAGAGCACAGGCTCTAGGTGCATGGGCTTCAGTAGTTGTGGCACAGGCGCTCAGTAGCTGTGGTGCACGGGCTTATTTGCTCCACGGCTTATTTGCTCCGTGGGATCTTCCCGGACCAGGGCTCGAACCCGTGTCCCCTGCATTGGCAGGCAGATTCTTAACCACTGTGCCACCAAGGAAGCCCAGATTAATAAATTTTGATGTATCAATACTTTAGGGAAAACTAACAATCTGTTCCTTGAGAGAGTTCTGTTGATTGCTTGGGATGAGAAAAATGCTCAACCAGTTTATTCACTATTCACATATTTTATTACTATTCTTGGCAACTAACTGTCATTTAAAAACCAAGAAATACCCTATATAATTTGCATTTTCCCATGTGTTGTTGTTGTTTTGCATACCCTTCTTTACCAATCCCTATTCCCACACAGCTCCACCTCCTCCCAAAAGACAACCATTTTCCTTTCTATGAATGAAGATCATGTTGCAGTTCCTTACTGTAATGACCTGCTTATCTATTCTTTTTTTTTTTTTTTTTTTGGTACGCGGGCCTCTCACTGTTGTGGCCTCTCCGGACTCGCAGGCTCAGCAGCCATGGCTCACGGGCCTAGTCGCTCCGCGGCATGTGGGATCTTCCCAGGCCAGGGCACGAACCCGTGTTCCCTGCATCGGAAGGCGGACTCTCAACCACTGCGCCACCAGGGAAGCCCTGCTTATCTATTCTTTACCTTTAAAACTGAGTAAATCCTACAGCTATCATTAATCCAGTAACTTGATTTTCATAAAGGACCTGAGGGGCTACCAGGTCTCAAACTGCCTTCTAAATCAAAGATTTAATGATGTTCTGCAGTTTTTAGATTAAATATACTTTATTAGGCACTAATTGTTTGAAAGTCTGGAACATATACATCATAAAACTAATTTGCTATTTCACTAGAACATGCATCTGAATTAAGTCATCTCCTGGTTCTGCTGTGTACGCCACATACATAGAAATAGAGATAGATCTGTTCAATAAATTATGAGACACACAAGACACACTAAAATTCTCACACTCTATGAATGTATTAACCACACAAGGACATGTGATTTCAATAAGCTGACAATGTTCTCCCAGGACTGCTTAATTTAGCATACCTGCTAATAAACTTTGGTTTGGGCACCACCTAATGGCAGGAAATATTTTTTTTTAAGAACCTACTTTGCTTTGCTTCCTGAGGCTTGCTAATTTTTGTAGTTCAGTTTATACTGATTTAGAAAATGTTTGCTCTTTATCAACCTATATAAATAGTTTTAAGTGTTCAGTTTTTTAAAAAGGATAAAGCCTTACCTTGGAATAATAAACTACTTTTCACACTGGGAAAATGTGCCAATGAAATGCTTATTCTATTCGATCCTTAAATATTTAAATTGAGCCTCATAATTAAGACGTTTTCATTGAATCATCTTAATTAGGGGTTCCCAAACTTTTAAAACCATACACAGTTAATTTTTTTCAAGAGATGCCTGCCTGAACCTAGTGTTTGTTTCATGATTCAACAAAGAGGCAAAATATTTGGGATAATACAGAGCAGATAACTGATGTTTTAAGAAAAGGAATTTATTATTTACACCACTGAAATAGTCCCCCGTAAGAACAATACATACCATGTTTATTTGAAAGAACCAGATTCCTTTCAAATAGAAGAACTGTATAAAGCAATACTGTCAACACAAAACAGTGGTCACATTACATATCTGCAGGCAAAAGCATTGCAAATAAATTTCATTAATCTTATGGCTAGATATTTTCACTGCAACACAGTGTTTGCACTTAAGAGAAGACAGAGCTGGAACAGAACAAAAACTTTTTGTTCATGCTTTTTAGGACTGAACCAGTGATACGTCCCATTTTAAAATGTACTGCCTTTAACTGCTTTTAGGACAACGGTTTTAGGCAGGAGTGCTTCTACTTGGCCACCACAAAGAAACACACTCTTGTTCCTTAGTTTCATTCCTCAGTCTCATGTTTTCTATTTGTCACACTATGACATATCTGTATCAGAGCAGACGTTTTCCAGTTTTACTCAAAGAACACTGACACACATACACACCAAACTGAGACAGCTCAGAATTTAGAGATGTAGGTAGTGGAGTAATAAGAGAAATTGTGTTTATGACAAAGGAATAAGAAAAACTCTCAGTGGTTTTAAGCATACTAAACTAGGTTCCTTACTAAAAACTTTTCTTTTTTTGGTTTTAAAAACAGTAGTTTCAAGGTGGGTTTGGGCTTAGGCAACAACACAGTGAGACAAACACACAAGACATACTTATTTCCAAAGTCACAAAATGACATTGTTAAGCATACATTTTTGTCCACTTTTTTTTGTGTGTGTGGGAATAAAACTCAGTACTCTATGTTGGAGAAAATATTTTTCAAGAGTTACAGTATATTCATACAGGGGGGAAAAGGTGGGGTTTTTTGTGGGTTTTTTGGCGTATTGCTATGATCTTCAAAAAATATAAAATTAAATTTACAAAAAACTGGAAGACCAAGTATAAGCAGTCTGATATTTGCTGCAGTGTCCAGCACTATCATAATGATCTTTAGCATAAAAGCAAAAAGAAGTTCATGGATCTCAAGTATCTTCAATAACTGCCAGTATAGCTTGTAACTACTGTCCTTGCTTCTTTGAGAGATACCTGCAAGAAATAAAATAAGATGTCGAAGCTGTATCACACTAAATTTAACTTAACAATCTAACTCTCCTCCCTAAAGGAAGTTGTTTATTTTAATAACAAAACTTTTCAAGGTAAGTAATAACTGTTAATAATCGCTAACACGTGTTGTTTATGTGCCAAGCACTGTTCTAAGTACATGCATTAATTCATTTAGTCCTCACAACAGTTCTGAGTGTTCAGTGAGAACTTATTTCTATTTTACAGTCACAGAGAGGTTAAGCAGTTTGCCCAAGTTCATACAGCAAGAAAGTGGCAGAGTTCAGATTGAAAACAAGGCTCTGGAGGCTACACACTATCACTCCACACTGCCTTACTTCCAAATGTGAAAGCAATATATTAACTAGTATTATAATTTCCCCCCAAAACTCAAAGTCCATTTGAAGATCTTCTTGCATAAAGGTAGTGAGCCAAAGCTGCTAAAGAACTCTGATCAAGAGTGTAAACATGCAAAGATGTTAATTCACCAAGCAAATTTTTCTTCATATTATTTTATAGGAGTCTACCAACAAATTAAAATTTTTACATCTCTATTTCTCACATTTATGAATTACTATATACTCAGAGCTATGGGGGTGGGGAAAGAGTTCTTAAAATCAGGAGACCTGGACAAGTTTTGATGGTAAAACTTGCTCAAACTGTGGCATTTACTATCTCTATGACTTAGTTACACCATCTACAGGAAATGTGGATAAAAATGCCAGCCTTGGGCTTCCCTGGTGGTGCAGTGGTTGAGAGTCCGCCTGCCAATGCAGGGGACACAGGCTTGTGCCCCGGTCCGGGAATATCCCACATGCTGCGGAGCAGCTGGGCCCGTGAACCATGGCCACTGAGCCTGCACATCCGGAGCCTGTGTTCCGCAACAGGAGAGGCCACAACAGTGAGAGGCCCGCGTACCGCAAAAAAAAAAAAAAAAAAAAAAAAATCCCAGCCTTACCCTCCTAATAGGCTTATGAGACTCTAATAAGAAGTATATAAATAAGTATTATGTAGGTATATAAGTACATAAGTATATGAGTGATCTGAAAAGCCAAAAGTGTAATTTGAAAAGCCAAAGTGTTATATTACATGAAGTTTCTTTTGTTGCTGTATTGGTGAAATCAGCTCTTCAAAGATTTACTTCCAAAAAAGTACTTGCAGTACATCATAATCCTGTTCACTTCTCCAGAGGTTTTTCCTGCCTCAAAATCTTGACGTTTACATGCAGTCCATATGTAGATTTGTACTTATGTTTGTGCTCAGAAAAAAAGACTAGAAGACTAGACACCAAGCTGGTAACAGTGGTTATCTTTCATAATCACAAGTAACTGTTTCCCTAAAGGAATAAATTTTCTAATTTTTCTGCTACACAGAGGTTACTTGTAATTTTTAACAGAAAACTTTTTAGTATATTTTATTTTATCCTGACATTATTTTACAGTATGAGAACAGATTCATAAAAGAGTGACCCATTTAATGTCACAAAATAATTAACAGGTAGCATCACAAACATGTACTAGTCTCTTAAATCCTCTCTACTAGAGAAGTATTAAAGATCTTAAGAGATGTGGGTTTATGAACAAGTTAGAGGTTAAGAGAAAGGGAAAAATACTTCCAGGGGAGATGTCACTGGATTAGAAAATAGCTTTAGAATTCACCCATTTTAAACAAAAAATAAGAGTTATGTGTATACCAGAGCTGCCAGACAATTTTTCATTCATTAATGTAAAGAAGAAATGAATAAGCAATTAGCACTTACCTTTCCCAATATTTGTGATTTAGGTCCAGAAAGTCATCTAATTTTGCTATTTCCTTGAGGTACTGGGTTAATTTTAAAAGTTCTTTGTCTTTATCTCGATTTAGGTGTGCTTTCATAAAAGGTCTTATCTATTAGAAAACAAACATTATCCAACACTTCACATTGTAGTAAGAAAACTAGTACAAATCTACACTATTCTATCACTTAAATTACAGTTAATGAGATTAAAATATCACCAAGGCTGTCAATACTAAGAATTACTTTTACATTATCTCACTGACAGTCATGGTATGTTTACAGGAGAAGTTCTTCCACTTAATTTACCTTCTGTTATCTTTTCAGTCTGAACCTCACAACGCCAGCTGTCTTATAGCACTTGAACCTTATGTGGCTTCTCTACTTTGCAAAACTGCTTAGACTTTTCCCCCTTCTATCAATCCAGTTGCTTCTTACTAATTAAATAATCTCATTCACATCACTTCATTCATAAAAAGGTACCCAATACATGCTTGATCTACAGGGGAGTGAGATAAATTTTAACACTGATGATTTTCACATCAGTATTTTCTATGAAATTTTTATATAGCTAAAATATTACACTTTTGTATAACCTACTTTCACTCACATTTTATCATAAGCATTTTTATCAGTAAAGTCTCCATTAAAATATTTTTAATTATATGAGTTTTCCCATAAAAATCAGCCATATTTTCTAAATTTTTAAGTTCAATGTATTTTATGATAAAAAGTATTCATTTCAAAAGCATAAAAGTCAGGATGGTGGACAGGGTTGAAGACTATAATTAGTAAGGGATTTTACATCTTGACTTGAATGGTAGTTACATATGTTCTCTGTAAAACAATTTGTTAAACTGCACATTTTATGCACTTTTCTTTATGTTACACTTCCAATAGATTTCTACTTTTTTAAAGACACCAGCTCATCTATATAGCACTCAAGACAGCATTTCAAAAACTTTTAACTAATTTTAGATGAAATAATGTATCTGGGATTTGCTTCAAAATATCAAAGAGAGGGAAGTAGGTAAGGTATAGAGCAAACATCCATCAATTAACAAGTTGTTTAAACAGGATAATGCATACATGGGGGTTAGTTTATACAATTCAATGTAGTTCTTTTTATGTTTGAACTTTTCCATTATAAAAAAAAATATCTTTTAAAAATCACACATATGCCTGTAAGTACTGAATAAATCATTTTAGTAAAGCATTAATATATCCTTATTGTGATTGGGAGAAAATGCAAACCGGTCACTTTTACATAGTGACATTTAAAAACAGATGACATTTAATCATTGTCACCTGTTGAGAACAATGAGCCCATAGGAGTCGTTACCATATCTATCAAGAGCAGAGGTTTTAAATATTTTTTTATTTACTTCTCTGTCATTGGAAAAACACACCACCAGCTTGAAACGGACAGAAGAAAATTTTCCCATACGTTCCAGGTTCTATTCACATCAGAACAGTTTAAGGCCAAGGACCTCCACAGCTGTTAGTCAGCTGAGCTCTGGCTGAAGGGCACCAATAAGAGCTGTCAGAGTCTGCACAGAAGCAAACTCTTGTAGGAGATCCTAATTCCAAACAGGCAGTGCGGGCAGTGCTGTTTCACAGCAGCAGCAGTGACTGCAGGAGATCAAGAAAACTCTCTGCAGGGACCTGCTTAAGCCCTACAGCTAGGTGTAAATAGGCATGATATTAGAATGTAGTGAAATGAGTTTCAGCATAATCCTGGGCAATACTGTAATGTTTTAAAGTACTCCCTCATTTAAAAAGATTGTAAAGGCAACATATTGACTTCTAAACTATTAATATACAATGTACCAAAGTGATTCCAAGTATAGAAGCAGGAAGGGATTAGACTGAAAGAGAAAGTACAGAGTCAGTGGCTGGTAAATAAGATTTTCAACCCAAGGCCCTGCTAAGTTACTTTTACTTTCTAAACATTTGGTCTTAAGCACTATTAAATAACAAAACTAAAATACCCCAAAGATTCTGGATCTAAAAGTTAAACTAGTTAAGTGGAAAAAATTCACCTAACTGACTTCAATTGTTTCAGTATAATCACTGTTCCATTCTTCAGGAATGATCTAAGTGATCAGTAGAAGGGCAAGCAACATATATTACCACCTCTGTCTCATATCAAAAAACATTTTTAGGAAATTAAGAATGTTTAGATTATCTGCATTCTCTTAAATCACCATTTCCTTAAGTAGATAATAAAAGTGAAGTTCAGAGTAACTACTGATTAATCCATGACCAAAATTCAAGTTCCTGTAGTTCAGTACTATATTCATAATTGACAAAGCCTCCTATGTTATATATTTCAAACCTTATGATTAGCAAGCTTATATTAGAAGTTAACTACTTTAAAAATAAGCAGTCTTTAAGATCTCTGTGAAATCTCTGAGATTTCTACCAGAAACATTATGGAGCTGTGATAACAAAACAGAATTTAGAATATTTCACAATTTCAAAACCACTTCTATGTCAACGTGGGCAGATCATTAATTACTACCTTCTTAAAAGAGGCTTTCAAAAGGAGACATGCGAGAGATTACCTGTAGAATGCTTAAAAATACCTCTCCTGAATTAGAATTTTTGGAGGCAGAAACTTACATATTTTTAGGAATTCCTTCAATGATTCTGCTGAGTACTCTGCTAAAAAACAAACAACCAACCAACTTGCTCTAAAGTAACATGAAGAACTAGAAGTTTATATCATCATCTCTCTGCATCCAGAGATGAGGAGGGCCCAAATGTTGGCTGGGAAAATAATGTTTCTTCTAAAAACACACATGAAAGTAATAATTTTTTTTTTTAAGTTAAAGCTCTTCTCAAAAATCATTCCCTGTCTCACTTATATGTAGAATCTAAAAACAAAAACAAGAACAAAACACATACATAAAGCCAAGCTCATACATACAGAGAACAGAAAGAACATACTGGTGGTTGCCAGAGATGGGTGGGTGGGAGAAATGGGTAAAGGGAGTCAAAAGGTACATACCTCCAGTTATAAAATAAATAAGTCATGGGGATGTAAGGTATAGCACAGCAACTATAGTTAACAATACCATATTGCATATTTGAAAACTGCTAAGAGAGCAGATCTTAAACATTCTCATCAGAAGAAAAACTTCTGTAACTATGTATGGTGACAGATGTTAGTTAACTAGACTTACTGTGGTGATCATTTCACAATATAAACAAATATCAAATCACAAATTATGTTGTATACCTGAAACTAATATTATACCTCAGTTAAAAAAAATTTAATCATTCCTTAAATACCATGACTTTACCTCCTTTCCAGTACAGACACCATTAGTTTCATACAAAATTTGGCTTAGATCAATTGAATCTTTCCTCAAGACTGAAGAACATACTTTTGTACCTTATACCTCGTAAACTACACACAGGAAAAGCACTTCTCCTAAAGCCTCAAACAGAAATCATTTTTAAAGGACAGCATAATCACCAGTCTACCCCAAGTACTTTTCTTCCAAGTCAACAGCTTTTATATTTGTGGCAATTCACTACCTAGATTAATATTCAGTCCCTAAACTATCCTCATTGTACACTAAAGATGACATCAACAGTCTGTATGGAGAGCTTCAAAAATCTACCTTCTTCAAGTTTTTCTCTCTTGTCTTTTAAAGTTATCAAGAATTCAGCTGGTAGTGACTTCCCTGGTGGCAGAGTGGTTAAGAATCTGCCTGCCAATGCAGGCGACACAGGTTCGAGCCCTGGTCCGGGAAGATCCCACATGCCGCGTAGCAACTAGGCCTGTGTGCCACAACTACTGAGCCTGTGCTCTTGAGCCTGCGAGCCACAACTACTGAGCCCACGTGCCACAACTACTGACGCCCATGCACCTAGAGCCCGTGCTCTGCAATGAGAAGCCACCGCAATAAGAAGCCCACGCACGGCAACAGAGAGTAGCCCCCGCTCACTGCAACTAGAGAAAGCCCGCACTCAGCAACGAAGACCCAACGCAGCCAAAATAAATTAATTAATTAATTTTTAAAAAAACATTAAAAAAAAGAATTCAGCTGGTGGAAAAGTTCAGGACTGAGATTAAAAGTATCTTAGTATCAGGATTTACACTTCAAATGGAGACTCCATTTGCATTGTACTATAATATAGAGCTATTTTTTCCATTTTCATATTGTATTTACACATAGGCAACCACAGGTACCAGAAATTTTTTTTTTTTTTTCTGGTACCAGAAATTTTAAGTTTCAAATTTCTCTCTTACCAATTTTATGCTGCTACCAGGGTTAAGTATCACTATGATGCCTATATAAGATTGCATGTGACTTAATGTTAAGATCAACACTGGCCTAGAAACCAAGTTACTTGGGTTCTAACTCAAATTCTATCATTAACCAGTTACAATCATGACCTTGGGCAAGTCATGAACTTTCTGATCCTCAGATTGTTTCTATAAAAGATGGCTGAGGTTCCTTCTAGCTCCAGCATTTCATAATTCTAAGCTCTCCACTTACGCTATATGAATTTTCAAAAACCTTTTATTAGTTTCAGTTTAAAAAGGAAAATTAGGGCTTCCCTGGTGGCGCAGTGGTTGAAGGTCCGCCTGCCGATGCAGGGGACGCGGGTTCGTGCCCCAGTCCGGGAAGATCCCACATGCCGCGGAGCAGCTGGGCCCGTGAGCCATGGCCGCTGGGCCTGCGTGTCCGGAGCCTGTGCTCCGCAACGGGAGAGGCCACAACAGTGAGAGGCCCGTGTACGGAAAAAAAAAAAAAAAAAAGGAAAAATACCCTTATTGCCAGCTTTCCAGCTAACTAGAACATCAGAAATTCAAGATTTGTATCCCTAATAGAATGTCTGATGCTTTCACTTTTGATGCTAAAAGTCAATGTCAGTAAGCTCATGTTGCTCCACAGAGCTAACTGAAAATAAAACATCTGGATGGGGGCTTCCCTGGTGGTGCAGTGGTTAAGAATCTGCCTGCCAATGCAGGGTACACGGGTTCGAGCCCTGGTCCGGGAAGATCCTGCATGCCACGGAGCAACAAAGCCCATGCGCCACAACTACTAAGCCTGTGCTCTAGAGCCCACGAGCCACAACTATGGAGCCCACATGCCACAACTACTGAAGCCTGTGCACCTAGCTGGTGCTCCACAACGAGAAGCCCCCGCTTGCCACAACTAGAGAAAGCCCACACGCAGCAACAAACGCCCAACACAGCCAAAAATAAATAAATAAAATAAATTTATGTAAAAAAAAAAATTAGAAAAACAAACCATCTGGATGAGTTGGTTAACTAAGGAGATACCAAGCAAAAAGAGAGAATGCTCAATTTTATATGAATTTTTCTGAACACTTAAGCTTTTCTTGACAGGATAATACACTACTTCCAAAAATTTATGAAATTCCATAGTGCTAACGTTCTACTACATAATCCAGCATATGTGAGAATGGCAAGTAAAATTATGTCTTACCTTTAGTCCATTCTGTGGGTTCATTAGAAAATTTCTTCCTATGTCGTCAAACATGATGGTGTTTTTTTTGCTGTAAAACTCCGAAAACTTTCCCCATATAACACCAAGAGGCTTTACCTTAGAATAAAAGTTTAGATTTAACTCAAGTTTCATGAATTTCATCCTTTCTTAAAAGCAGAAATACTGCAAAATGCCCTACACAACTATGCCAGAGCGTTCCTTTACCATGAGGCAGTGATGGCTGGCTGTGTGAACAGAACAGAATCAAGATGCAACACACTGTAAGGCACAACATATCTCTCAATGTCAACTTCTGAAAGGTCTGTTCGTGTCTAATGGAACTAAGCCCATTATAAGACTTCCTATAATTTTAATATGAAGATTCGGGATCAAAAAAAGTAGTTAACTTTTTAAAAATCTAGTATTTGTTTAGATGTCTGCTGAGCATTCACATGTCCCCTCAGGGCTTGAGGTTTCACATGGGGTCTGTTTTCAAAACTAGAAAACCTTAATGACAATGTACCTGGTTCTTTTATTACAATATTTAAATATTTTGTAAAGGAAAAATGGACTTTCTCCTTAGTTCAGTGGTATAGGTGCACAATTTCTAGGGCATCTGATTATTTAACTTCAAAACACCGTAATTTGTAAATTCTTGCTTTTATTTCTGAATTCTTAAAATGAGCCTCCAAAAAGGTAATTTCTCAGTTATTCATATCTATTGATACTTGCATAAATTCTCTGCAAGATCACACAAGAAATAATAGTGATTGCTTGTAGGAAGGAAAGTTAAGTGGCTGGAGGGTCCAGGAGGGAGGAATACTTTCCACTATACACTTTATTTGTGAATCATGTGAATATATTTTACACACTCACAAAAATATTTAAAATACATTAACTTTTAGAAGAAGAAGTACATTTTGCTGAAGGCAGTAGTCTCATTGATGGTAATGTGAGATTATATGATGATGATAATAATTATATGAGATTAAATGGTAGGAAATAAATGGTGACAAGCGTTGTCATTAATTTTAAAATGTTTTTTCTCCTCTATAATTTCTTTTAATACGGAGAAAGCCTTTTTCTTAGTGTCCTCATTACTGCAAAAAATGTTATTCAAATATTTTAATTTCACTAAAATTTTATTTGCCGTATTTGTTTGCACTATTTGTTTACTACTGAAACAAACCCCCCAAATACTTGAAGCCAAATATACAGAAACTGACACAATAAACCAGATTCTTGGTTTTCTTAGCCAACATAAAGCCTCAAAAAATATAAGAGCTTTATGACACCCAGGGTTAGAAATCCTACATCTTCTTAAATAGTGCTGTCATTTTGCAATTAGGTCAAGCACCATATGTTCTCCAAAACATGAGCTACCTTGTTTTCTATTAGAGAAGTAATATTGCTGACTGTAGAAAAAAATCTGAAAACACAAAAAAGCACAAAGGAAAATATTTAATTACCTATAATCCAGTTAGTACCAAAGAATGCAACTAGATATTCTGATATATTTCTCCAGTCTTTCTGATAAACAGCAGCAACCTCAAAGAGTTCACAGATCTTTTGTAAAGCTAAGGGAACCCCTGAACCAAACAAAGGTTAAAAACTACTTTCTAACAGTTTGCAAATACTGCTAAAATACTTTTTTCACTTTAATAATGTATCATGAAAAATTTCTGAAGCACTAAATACTGCATCAAATAATTAGCTGCGGGGCTTCCCTGGTGGCGCAGTGGTTGAGAATCTGCCTGCCAATACAGGTGACATGGGTTCGAGCCCTGGTCTGGGAAGATCCCACATGCTGTGGAGCAACTGGGCCTGTGAGCCACAACTACTGAGCCTGCGCGTCTGGAGCCTGTGCTCCGCAACAAGAGAGGCCGCGATAGTGAGAGGCCGCGCACCGCAATGAAGAGTGGCCCCCGCTCGCCACAACTAGAGAAAGCCCTCGCACAGAAACAAAGACCGAACACAGCTAAAAATAAATAAATAAAATAATTAATTAATAATAATAATAATTAGCTGCATTCCATTAAATGGACGAACAAAAATGTGTACAACCAACTCCCTACTGTTGTAGGGATTTGTTATTGAGGATTTCTTTTTATTCCTTTAATTTTTCATTATTATAAACACTCCTGTTTAACACTTCCCAAACTTTTTACTGTTTAGACTTTGTACATGTACCACTTTAGTAGGTAATAAATTATACTTTTCCTTGATGTACGCAGTATTTCCTTTATTGAAAACTCCACACACACATAATTCTATTCATGACTTTTATGACTTTGACAATTTTAATACTGTCTTCCCTAAGCTTTCCTAGTTTGCTAAGTTCTCCCCAATTCCTATTAGTCTGTGTTTCCAAAAGGTACGGACCATGTCTCCCCATCTCTTTATTCCCAACAGTACCCATTACAGGGCCTTGCAGATAGCAGAAGTTCATAATATGACTAGTTACTTGACACGTAAACAAAGTGAAGAACCTTAATCTTTTTAGCCCAACTCTTTCTTGATGGTTCTTATTGCCTTCTCTAGGGCTTCACGTACATAACCCCAAAGTACATGCATCATGATATACCTGCTTTTATTTATCAGTTTCATAGAGGGCAGGGCAAGTGTGTCCTGGTCTGTTTCTAGTATCTTCCTTGACAACATTCAGTATTTTTTCACACCTACTCTGTCTTTAGCAACACTGTGCTGTTATCATCACGGGACAATTAACCATGACCTTTCTTGACAGTCCTTCCTCAAGATCCTTAACTTTGTCACTAAAATTCATATCTGTTAACCTGAAATACATCTTATGTCAAAACTCAACTGATACTTTATTATCCACTTAGATGTATTTCTAAACTCTGTGTAGTTTATTCCATCAATATAAATATAAAAGTACACCAGAAAACAAGCAAGTCTTTAAATAAAAAGTAAAATGACTTCTTACATCTATTAATCCTCTCCTTGGAGTATGCACTGTTATCATAGCAGCACTGTCCAACATGAAGGTAATCTTGTAATTTGCATTTGTACTCACTCCCAGCTCCTATAAATATAAATATTCATGTGGTTAAAATATAATAATGTGGAAAATCCCAGGCTTTATGAAAAGTCCAGCTATAATTTCCCATAATGCCAACTTTCTACCCCCTGGCTACCACACCTTGCTCAACAACTAACAAGCATTTTAGTTTCACGAAGCGAAATCGATAAATGATAGTCCAAAGAACCCTAGTCTATTTAGCTCTAAAATGAGGGGCCCTTTTCAATGTACTACCAGAAACAGGTTACTTCCCAATTTAATATTTTAGAAGAGCATCACTCCTTTAAGTATCACACACCAGAGAAAAGAAGGAAAAGAAAGTATTAGCGTAAAATGGGAGAAAGAGGAGAGGAAGCTTTGCTGTACTTTTTCTTGAAAAAGACATAGGTAATCAATGCAAACCACCATTAAGCAGACTTTAAACACACCTCTAACTCCTGATACTGGCATTTGTTTTGCTACTAAATGCCCTCCAATGACAATGAAATTAATTCAATTCGGAATTTTCTAAAAAGACAAATGCAGTTTCAAAACGTTCTTAAATGGATTGTTTTCTAACACTTACTTTCATTTTAGCTTCAATCCACTTCATATTTGTTGCAGCTAAAACATGAGGAATGATAACACAATATGTATGAAAAGCTTGAATTTCATTTAAAAAATCTTTCTTCTGTATAAATTAGTTAAGTTTTCTAAGCAAGACTATAAGTTCAAATACATCACAAATTATCCCTAGCATATTTATGGTAAATTCCTTTTAACCGTTTATAAAAATAAACTTATTTTAGTGTGTCTTCAAGACAATAACATTTAAACAACTTTTATCTAAAAGATAAGGTAACCAATGCTCAAAAGAACTCTGAACCTAGGAATTCATAAATCAAGACCTAACCACCCTTTTAAAAACAGCCCTAATACTGTTCTCTATCAGTTCTAAACTTGAATTTAGGGTGCCTGGATCTCCATTTTCTTCTGCGTTCCTACTGCCAGGCAACACACAGGTATATATGTCAATATAAGCAGATTAATGTTATGTGTCAAAAGTTTATGTTGAAGACTGCTAGGCTGAAGACTGTCGAAAAATGCTAATGAAAATTAGCATTTTGCCAGGCTCAGCAAACTTAGTGCTCATTGAGTCCAGCAGCTTTTAACAAGAAGTCTGAGGCAACTAAATTCACAAACCCTATCTATGTCACGTTCCTGCTCACTGTCACACACCAACCACTTCTGAGATCACTGATAAAAACTCAAACTTCAGTTTTATGTGCCCTATTCTTCTCAAGTTATTGGACTAAACTATATAGGTATTACAAAGTAAAATGTTTAAAAATGGAAAAAGGAGTTCAATTATTTAAAGTGTATATATGAGTGTGTGTATATTATTTTAAGGGCAAAGAGGTAGCTGAGTCCTCAAAATAAAAATCTTTAGCACACATACAAGAACCAAAATCACCTTACATGCAAAACTGGTCAGTTGAACTAAAATTTTAGAGAGTGATGTATCTACAATGACAACAATCAGGCGACAGGGAAAAACAATTTTTTTAATTCAGTATACATTTTGGGACTATAATCCCCAGATGAAAAACAGAAAGATTTACAGCTAATAAAAAGAGTTTCTAATTATTAAGAAACTATTACATGTCAGACATGTTACTAGTTGTTATACCAATATTTTATTCTTACAACTACACTGTAATGTAGATTTATTTATCTTCATTTCTCAGATGAGGAAGCTAAGGCTCAGAGCAATTAACTGACCTGCCTAGTGTCACAAAGTAAGGTCAGAGCCCGGATTAAAACCCTAGTCTATTTAGCTCCAAAATGAGGTGCCCTTCTCAACATACTACCATGAAATTTATTTTTTAAAAAAAATTTATTTTAAGCATATGATTGTAAAATGTCCTCAAAGTCCCTAAGTCTACTCTAATAACATTTAGAGGATAAACTTTTTTCTCAAATGTCGTCTCAGATGTCAGAGTTGCTGAACAAAAACCTATTTCCCAGAAAGCTTTCTCCTCTGTATCTTAAAAACCAGAAAATTATGTATTTAACTATGTATTGAATTGTAATGGCTATGTACTCATAATAACACTAAACTATTGAGATACTCTGATAATAAAAGAAAATACAAAGGAAATTTACAAACTGCAGAACAACTATGTGGCCTCTCATCAAAAATCTAGTACGATTACCATCCTTAGGGATTTTATTTAATTCACAATTAGGATAGCTCTTTTCTGCTTATGACATTGCCAAGACGTAACTTTAAATGTCTGTGGGAAGGTGAGATGTAAATCAATACACTCCCCTTCCCTTTTCAGAAGGTCGTACCACAAAAAGATTGTCACCTGAACTAAACAGTGCATTCAGTAATGTAGTAAATTTACTTTTTGGAGCAAACTCACTGTTACCATAGACTTGTAAGTTCCTGGAATGGCAGACCACAAGTTGAGTAACACTGCTTTAGCCCATTTATTAATTTTCCTTGAGTAAATTCATATTGCCTTTATTTCTGAACTACATCACTGTAAAATTTTTTTAAATACATATCTTTCTCCAAGTGTTTTGAGACTAGAGTGATGAAGAAAGGAGAAAGCAACAATATACTAAAGCATCAAAGATTCTACAGCAAAGATCAGAAAGAAAAGATCCTAATCAAGGTGGGGTCTTGTGAAAATAAGGCCATTTTTTTTTTCACACCATAATCTACTCTCTTCCTATATTTAATTATTTCAGTGGTATTTGGCAAATGCACATAAGTTTATATTGTGATGCAAGAAAGTCAAACATGCTTCATCAGAAATTTGCAAAATATAAAATTTAAGTCACATTTTATAAAGCAGAGTAATATAAGGAACAACTTATTTTCATGGAAATCCAAACAAGAAATATAGCTTACACCAAATAACAATGTCATAATCCTCATACGCAGATGTTAGGAATTCATGAAGATATGGCCGCATTAATTCTACCCCAGTCTCTGCACAAGACCTATGGTCTGAAAGAAAATCAGTTCGAGATGATGATTAGTTTATTATCATGGACAAGTACCTAATATCAATTAAACTTCTGAAATGTAATATAAACACTCAAATGCAAACTACTTCACACTAACTTACATCAGCTGACAAAGGGATGTCTTCAAAACACACAATTCAATATTCTTGCAATCCAATTTTAATTGATCAATTCTGTTCAATTTGCAAAGACCAATATCCAGAATTCAGGCTTATATAATAAACAGTAAATTTTTTTTCATCTAATCTCTAAAACGTAGATGTTATTTTAGGATATGAAAAACAAACTAGGGCCACATATACTCACATTTTAGCCATTTACCTACCAAATATAATCATATTTCACCAAAATAACAGGTTTGATTAACTTAATCAAATTTTTAAAAAAATTTACGCTAACTTACGACATGTACTTAAAGTTAAGGATTAGAGGTAAATAAATCCATTCTAATATCAGGAGTTAACTAATCATTTCTGGCAATATTAGAGGATGAAAGAACAAATTTCTTTTTTTGTTGACATGAAATTTTAAATTCAAGAATCTGCCTTGGGGCTTCCCTGGTGGCACAGCGGTTGAGAGTCCGCCTGCTGATGCAGGGGACACGGGTTCGTGCCCTGGTCCGGGAAGATCCCACATGCCGCAGAGCGGCTAGGCCCGAGCCATGGCCACCGAGCCTGCGCTCCACAACGGGAGAGGCCACAACAGTGAGAGGCCCGTGTACCGCAAAAAAAAAAAAAAAAAAAAAGAATCTGCCTTGAACATAATTAAATAGAAAACCAGGAATAAAATATCAAAAATGATTTTTAAATAATCATAAAATGTTAAGTGTTAATCAATAGGGAATCACTTAATTATCACACATCCATAAACTAGAAAAGCGCCTGACCAAAAAATACATATATTTAACTCACAATGAATGTTAAATGACTGTGATGTTCAATATATCATTAAGTAAACATAAAAAGGACATACATACAAACACCCTGGAAGACGGACATAAAAATATGAGTGGTCATCTTTGGATCTTGGGATTACGGATGACTTCTTTTTTCCCTTACAATAAAATGATTTACTTTTAAAATAAAAAGAAAAGCTTTCAAATATTTCATATTGCAAGGGAAAAACAAACAAATAAAAGGGGAAAATGCCATTGTGGATAACAGAAGATGGAGCACAGTTTTAGCTGACTTACCAAATAACGTATAATCAACATCTAGTACCAAAAGTTTTTTCCCTTCCCTGGGAGGATTCAAAACTTCCACTTTGTACTCTTTTACTCTGCGGGAAATTTTCAGTAGGTTTTCCTCCCTAACGAAAAATAAGATCAGATGAAATATTCACTTTTTCTCAAATTACAACCAATTTCCTTTGATGATGAAAAGTACTCACCTATTTTCTACTTCAACTACTTCATCTTCAATATCAAAGTCGTTAATAACATCATCATTGTCAGGAGGTGGACCTAAGACATCTTCCTATTAAGATGAAAAATAGTTTTCTCTGGCCATATTATCATTAACATAACAAATACATTCATAGCATAAAAAACAAATAAGAGGTACGATTTGAGTCCAAGAGTCTTGCAAGCACACACTACGGGAAAACTTCCACATTTTATATTTTGTTATATATGTTCACTGGGCAGATTTACCATGTTAAATGTGACCATTAGCACTACTACTACACTTACATCTAGCTATACACTAACAAATTTCCCAGTATTTGGTTTCTGCTGAGTTAATAACACATTCATTGTGCAGCTTTTACTTTTCACTGACTGCTAAACTGACAATTTTACCACAATTAAAACTATGATACAACAGTGTGATATAAACCATAATATCTTCAAAGGGACAAATGGTAACAAAAGTAAACATTTACCAAGCTCTCCTCACGAGTTCCCATCATCATGATTTTAGTATTTGGTTTCAGTTTGAGAGCGCCAAGCTTAACATCATTTTCTGCAGGTTTGCCTACAATGCAAGCAAATGACTGTTTTCTCACTAAAGTTCAGGTGCTCGTTTCACTATCCCATTACCCAAAACCCTAACATTAAAAGGTTTGGTACAGATTCCACAGCAAGTTTTTTTTCCTTAAATTAACAAACTGTTACTGCTGAATTAGCAATTTCTAACACACTAAGAAGTAGTAATTAACACAAGGTTGGAATTTTTCCCCAACTCTTAGAGGAACACCTTTAATTCAACTAACTAAACAAAATAAATTCATGTTTTATTCTGTTGTTCAAGATGAAGATGACTGTTTTCCAGAAAGTCCTGAAAATTGAGTGCCTGAGATAACTGTACATTTACTGCTACTCAGAACTCACCATTCAATGATAAGACAAACACCGTGAAAATGCCTTTTAACTGAATGTGAACACTGCCTATAATTTACAAATCATTATTACTTTCGAAACAGAAAAGATAATTTGGGGAGAGTAAAAGGCCCAAACTGTAATGAAAAGGCTGTGCTAGAAGACAGATACTAGAAATTACACTGGGGGCTTCCCTGGTGGTCCAGTGGTAAAGAATCCGCCTTACAATGCAGGGGACGCGGGTTCGATCCCTGGTCAGGGAACTAAGATCCCACATGCCGCGGGGCAACTAAGCCCGCGCGCCACAACGACTGAGCTCGTGCGCCTCAACTGGAGCCCGCATGCTACAAACTACAGAGCCCATGCACTCTGGAGCCTGCGCGCCACAACTAAAGAAAACCCGCACACCAAAACTAGAAAGAAGCCCACACACCACAAAGAAAGATCCGCATGCCTCAACGAAGATCCCGAGTGCCGCAACTAAGACCCGACCCCGACACAGACAAAAAAAAATTTAAATAAATAAATAAATAATACATAAGTCTTAAAAAAAAAAAGAAAGAAAGAAATTACACTGTTTACCTGGGACTTCCGTGTCACAGGTTTAACAAGCAAACATCAACTGTCAGAGGAAATCAAAAGTAATCTTAATAGTGGTGGTATTTTCAGGTATCCTTAAATATTCTTACTTGTACCATCAAAAAAAATTTAGGGATATCCCTATCAAAGAAATCTCCAAGGGGAAAGACTTATTAAAGTGAACAGATAATAGCTAATATAAAGATTCATAAATATATCAATGCAATAAATTTGAAGAAGCGAGAAAATTACCTTTAACTTTGAGTCCAAGTAACTTCTGGCGTTCTGGTAGCACTCCCGTAAGGGTCTTGAGAAACTGTTTGAGATCTAGCACAGTATCATCTTCTGAAAGTGTGGTCACTGAATATTCCTGTCCACCCCATTTTACAATGATAGGAAGAGCCATCCTTGAAACGCACGATGAGGCAGCTTTTGTTCAGAAAAAGATACCTAGAAAGAAAGGCATATACAAGTTAAAATAGATATATCAAAGATGTATGTAAACTTGCAACTTTAAGTTTTATAAACTGTGTCATTTGAGTCCTATTTTACAACTGGATGATAGAGAAACAGGATTTTCTACTTACAGAAATGTTTTCGGAATGCCAAAAGTTATCAGGAGTCAAAGTTAAAATTCTCCCACCCTCTCAATTTTTGGCTTGAAGTTACAACTTCCTAATATTCTATCAGGTTCTCCTTGTTCAAGTGGAAAGCTGCAATAAATGAGCTAAAAATTCCTCCCTCTCTGATCAGGCTTATGCTACTGGCAAGTTCCTCCATGATGGACCGTCCATGTTCATTTACCATTTGCAAGGTAGGACAGTGAGTTGTTAAGAGCATAAACTCTAGAGACAGATTACCTGGGTTCAGAGGTCAGCTCTCCCACTTATTAGCTATTTAACCTTGGAAAGCTAACTGACTCTTAGTGCCTAGGTTTCCTCATCTGTAAAACAGGGATGCTAATACTGCCTAATTCTCAGGGTTCTTAAGAGGAATAAATTAATTTTTGTAAGTCACATACTACCTGGCACATAGTAAGCTCTACACAAGTAAGTACTGGTTACATAAGTTGTTTTAAAAACTAGAACTGAAGTGTTCCAGGCACTGCGCTAAATAGTAAATGGCCATTATTTGTTTCATATTTAATACACTGGACAGGTTTTACTCAATCTCCTTTAACAAGGTTGTTTGATAAGAACTGTCCCTTTTACAATTAAGGAAATAGGGGTTCAGAGAGGTTATGTAATCTGCTCATTGGCACATAGCTGATAACAGAACAAGTCTTCTGACTAAATCTCATTTTCTTCCCTTACACAACTGTCTCTCTTGAATTGCACCTACAGGAGTTAAGGCACCAAATATCAGTAAATACAAAACCTACAGGCACAGATATAAGTACACAAAGATTATATAGCAGCTGCCACTCATCAACAATAGCATGTAGGTCTCCTCCCCCCATAAAGCTTTCTACCAGTTTTCATAAGTTGGTTCCCCCAACAGGTCAGAGAACTAGATTTTCTAATCTCAAAGTAGTGGTATTTCCAAATGCTGTCATATATTTAATACAACATTTGACTTCACTCTTCAAGTATTACAACCAACTGCAAGAAAGAAGGCATATTATAAATCTTAACATGCAAACGTAATTTGAAAATTTAAGATGTCTTCAACATGCCCATTAGAAAAGAGCACCATAAATTCACTTACATTTATTCTATGTTTACAACCTGCTCTACTAAAACTTTAAAGAAGGTGTGTTACTTTAGGGCAATGTATTCTATTTGGAGAGAACTTGCTCTAACAAACCTTATAATCCTCAATAAAAAGCCAAATGGCCCTTTTGAGTTAAACTGAGATATCACTTAAATATTATTTTTCTGTGAGAAGTGGAAATAAAACTGAAAATTTACAAGAGCTAGGAATGCAAATAGCACTAATACAGCATACTGTGTTGGGCAGAGCAGAACATGTGAAGTGAGATCACCTGAAGTCTAGGTAAGCATGGACAAGTCACTGCACCTCTAGACCAGTGTTCGCAAAGTGTGGTCCCCAGACCATCCAACAGCATTGACCCCACTTGGTAACTTGTTGGGAATGTAATTGGGTCTGGAGAGAAGAGACCTAGCAATTTGGGTTTTAACAATCTCTGTCTCCCCCTCCCCCCATCTCTGAGGCATGCTAAAGTGAGAGCCAGCGCTCTAGGCTCTTCAATTTTCTCAGCCTTAAAAAAAAAGTGCCAGATGGCATGGGCTCTATGTGCTTAGTAAAGCAGTATACAAATATCATCACCCATGCCACAAGTGGGATCTCCAAGTTGACAATTGCTCTAAAGGACCAAGCACAACAAAACAAACACCATAAAAAATTTTACCGCATAAAGTCCTTAAAACTGTTTTTCAAAGTTACTGAACCTCATTCCTTCAATATTCAGATCATTAACAACAATGGAGCAATGCAATGCAAATGCATGAGTCATTTTATGTTTTCACATTTAGCCTTCTTTCTTACACAATTTTAATGTTTTGTATCACTGCGGACCCTATCAGATTTATAAACTGAAAAATGATTTTAGGGGTAAATGTGGCAATCAAACCCGAACAAGTAAGCAAAGAGCACACCTTTATGGTGAAACTACAGTCAAGAACGGCTGTTTGGGTAAATTCTTCTACCTAACATACAGTGGTGACTTGCCTAGTCAGGGCAGGAATGTTTACTTGACAAGAATAGTGTTAATCCCTGCGATAACAGCCGTGACATCACTTTGTATACTATAAAAAGCAATACGAATAGTGGTGAAGATAGGAAAATGATAACATGCTCAACAACTTAATTGAATAATCTCATTTAATCTTCACAATCCTAAACTGACAACTACTGTCTTCATTATACAGACTAGAAAACTGAAAAAGAGGAAAAACAAATTGCCCGAGACCACACAACTAAAAAGTAGCAAAGGCGGTTAATTTGAAAGTAACAGCAGCAAAAGTTAACACCTTGGGAATTGAGGGGAGGGAGTTAAATTTAAACACGCCCAGTAAAGGGTAACTGTTGAAGTACTGTCAACTCCTCCTCGGGAGAGCTGGGCAGCAGCAACTGCGAGGGAGTGCAGAGGAAAGAGCTGTGGGAAGTGACTGGTATGAGACAGCACAGAAGGCAGGCAGAGACCCCAAAACCCGAGAGGGCCGGGATCCGTTCAACAGGGAGGAGGGAGAGACGGACAAACCCCAGAAGAGGGGGGAATAAAGGTTTGGGGACGCAAAATCCACTGAGGCGCCGGAAGCCCTCCACCTAGGCGACGAGGCTGGATGGGAGGGCGTCGGCCCCTGTGAAGAGCCGGCCGGGGCCGGAGGCCTGGGCCGCGAACCTGGGCAGCCGCGGGCGGGGCCCTCACGAGCAGCCACCAGCCCGCCCGGCCACAGTGGAGGCCGGGTCTCGAGGACAGCAAAGCTGCGGTCCCCCAGCCCCACGGCGCGCCGGGGTGCCCAGCGTCCCCTCACCTGGAGCGCGGCGGAACCGGCAGGAGCGGACGCAGGAACCGACCGCAGCGGAATCCAAGGCGACCGGAAGTGAGAGGCGGGGACCGGAACCGGCTAACGAACCGGAAGTTAGGGTTTGAAACGGAAGCGCGCCGGAGAGCGGAAGGTCGCTTCCCTTGTTTCTCTCCGGGCAACGATGGTACATAGACGTTGCCAGGGACTTCCTCACCGCGACGAGGGAACCAGGCCTTTCCGAGAATGTGACCGCTGTACGGATGCCTGCGAGTCTTGGACGGCTTCCGTCCCTCGCCTGTTCTGCGCATGCGTCCGCTGGCGGGTTTTGAGTTGGGCAGGCCCTGCCGGGGGTATGACGTTTCTGGTATTGTTTCTCCAAAGTCGGAGCTGGAGTTGGTGCACTGAGTTCCCTAGGTGTGCTGAGATCTTCCTGGGACTCGGGCCCAAAACTTGTGTGGCTTTTTCATGTTCCGAATGAGGCCTGAAAGGTGATATTTGAGGTCTGAAGACTTGAGAACTCTACCTGGCACCAGGGGCCACCAACACTAGTAATTTCAGGAGTTTAGAATTCTACCCGTTTTACCCAATGGAAGAGGAAACAGGATCGTCAGGGAAGGGGCAAGCCCAAGTCTCAGAGAACCAAGGAAGCAAATCTCATGAGAGCTGCATCGAGATTACTGTAGTCTTGTATCGAATTAGTCTCCACCCGCCCGTTCCCAGGTCCATTCCATCTTCCTGCAGAATGCTAAGAAAGCCAATTACAAACCCTGACAAAAGAATTCCAGGGTTTAATGGAAATTCGGAGCAGCTGCTGTCTGGTACAGCGAACTCCCAACGTGCATCACTTTATGATAGTCAAGAAAAAGAAGTTAATAATTGCCCACTAGATTGTTGTATGTGGCGGCAAACAAAACTTAGGTTTTGAAAAGGAAGGGAAAGGGAGAAAATAATATTGGCCCCAAGTATGCACTAGGTCCTTGAATTACTTGTATTTTTCCTTCTACTTGACAGCAGTGTCACTGATCCATGTTTCCCTTTTGGCTGTCATGGAATGGAAGCAAAGAGCCAAGTTTTGTGTCTTAACAGTTTTTTAGTTAAGACACACAAACTATTTTACATTTTCCTTCCCTCTTTTGGTAATTTTTATTGCGCTAGCAATGTATGAGTATCTGCTCATTTTTTAAAATAAAACGTATGTTCAGTAACAAGTATTCCCGCTATCCTTCAAAAAATGGGAAACGGAAAACCCAAAGTTAAAAGAATTTGTACAAAAGTCACACATTAGCAGTCTAGCCAAAGAGATGGCCAAAAGACAAGGGACTGGACTCCAGAATGAATTTTCTTTCAAACCAATCTCTTTTTTGCTTTGTTCACGTGCCAAACAGCTTCTTGGCGACTTTATATTCTTGCTGTTGTGGTTAGAGAAACTTGTTTTTGTTAACAGAACGGAGAACTAAAACATTTTTAAGCTTCACTAATTCTAAACAACAGGATACATAAGGAGATTCCTTTTAATCAGGAATAGCCATTGTACAAAGAGTCTGATGATAAGTCTGGTATTACTAGAGTGTAAATAATTTAATAATTACAAATTATCTAGCCAAGTGTTGAACAGTAGTATTTCTCAGAGAATAATGGTAGCAGAGACTTACCAGATGATTTTAAGTTATGCCCAAATCTCAGTTCCTCCAAGTCCATTTCTAGACTTGGTCCATTTACCAGATGATTTTAAGTTATCTTATGCCTATATTTCAGTTCCTTCAAGTCCATTTATATTTAACTAAACATTCATTAAATCAAAAATAATGTTAAGAAAACACTTGGAGTGGATTGGAAGATAACATTGAATAAAAGAACTGGACTCGTGGTAACTAGGAATGTATATAAAGTGGACCTAAAAAGGGGCTCACAGCCACTCACAACTTCCAATAAGAGAAAAATTAAACGTCTGCCTCCTGTTGCTCACTAGAGCCTTTTTCTAATGTGTGGAGGATGATATACTTGTGCTTCACTCATACTTCTCTGCAGCAACTAAAGGTGCCTGGGAATTCCTGCATAGGGTTTTGATAGGTTGTCACATCTAAGTGATTAAAAGAAATGTGGAACAATTTCAAAAAATCAGATGGTACGGGCTTCCCTGGTGGCGCAGTGGTTGAGAGTCCGCCTGCCGATGCGGGGGACATGCGGGACACCCGTGCCCCTGTCGGGGAAGATCCCACATGCCGCAGAGCGGCTGGGCCCGTGAGCCATGGCCGCTGAGCCTGCGCGTCCGGAGCCTGTGCTCCGCAACGGGAGAGGCCACAACAGTGAGAGGCCCGCGTGACGCAAAAAAAAAAAAATCGGATGGTAAACTGCTGATACCACTGTGCCCATGTTTGGATTGGACGACAAAAGGACATTCCTGCACCCCAGACAGAAAGCTACCACCCCTCTGCATGTATCTTCATCTTCCCCTGACTTCTTTACTTCATTCCCTTTCTCAGGCCGTTTTCTTCCTGTCCTTCCAGTTGAAAAACAATCCTCTTTCTAATTTCTTTTTTTTTAAATTTAGTGCACTACAGCACTTTGTTTCTCTCTTTTAATGTTTATACCCTTGTTTTTTCCCTGACTGCAATTAGCTAAAAATGTTTAGAATCTACCCCATAGAACAGACTCTGCGGGCCCTTAACTCACTCTGGCCAGTGAACTACTGCCTTTCTCTATTCATCTTGCTTTCCCAAACGACTACTTAAAACGTCAACTCTCTTCCAACCTCAGATCTTCCAGTTTACATCCTTGCTTTTGGCAGATGACATTGTCTCATATTTTATTAAGAAAATATAAAGTCTCAAAGAGGAATTGCCTGAACTTCAGACCTCCAAATCTACAAACTAAGTTATATCTGCACTTGTCCTCACTTCTTTTGCTTGTTTCAATGCGGCAATTTCCTTCTACCCGAAGTCAACCCTTATATTTGTGCTCTGGCTCCTTCCCTCTCAGGAAACTTTGTTTAAATCCAGTATCTCTCTCTCTTGCTCTTGTATTTTTAACCTCTTTCTCTCTACAGGCTCACTTCCATCAATGATAAACATGCTACAGTATCTTGCTGTCATAACTACTATCCTTTCTTTTCACAGTTGGGCATTTCAAAGCATTGTTTGCATTTGTGTAAACTTGACATAATCTGTAATTGTCTATTTCAGACAATTTGTTTAGTGACAGTCTTTTACTATACTGTAAGCTTTGTGAGGAAACAGACCATGTCTGCTCTATTCACCACTGTATCCTCAGAGCATAGCATGATGTTGGCTAAAGCAGGTACTCAATACATATTTGCAAATGGATGAATAATGGATGAATAGAATGTAGAGAATAGAGAGATTATATAATAATACATATTATACATATAATAACATCGGTGATTTATAATGATTATAATTTGTAATTGACTCTGGATGCGCAGGAAATTTCTGAAATACACACCAAATGTTAACAGTTCATGGCACCATAGGATGCACTCAGTAAGTATTTGTTAAATGAATGAAAGAAATTATCTCTCGATGGCATCATAGAGCAGGTGAGTTTCACCTTGTTTATATTTTTCTGTATTTGAATTTTTTACAATAATTTTGCATTCTTTTTCTCTTTTTTTAAAAATAGTACAAGGCGGCTTCCCTGGTGGTGCAGTGGTTAAGAATCCGCCTGCCAATGCAGGGGACACGTGTTCAAGCCCTGGTCCGGGAAGATCCCACATGCCACAGAGCAACTAAGCCTATGTGCCACACCTCCTGAGCCTGCACTCTAGAGCCCGTGAGCCACAACTACTGAGCCCACGTACCACAACTACTGAAGCCCGCGCGCCTAGAGCCCATGCTCCGCAACAAGAGAAGCCACCACAATGAGAAGCCCACGCAGCACAACAAAGAGTAGCCCTCGCTCGCCGCAACTAGAGAAAGCCCGTGCACAGCAACAAAGACCCAACGCAGCCAAAAAATAATAATAATTTAAAAAAATAGTACAAGACTTCCCTGGTGATCCAGTGGTTAAGACTCCTTGCTTCCACTGCAGAGGGCACAGGTTCAATCCCTGATCGGGGAACTAAAATCCCACATGCTGTGTGGCATGGCCAAAAACAACAACAACAAAAATAGTATAAACATATCCTTACCACTATTAATTTTTAGGCCTATCCTTGAAAATCTTTTCTGTGCTTTAGATATATACACGTGTATACAGTTTATACATATTTTTAAATAATTATGTATACACAGGAGGTTGCAAAAAGAGATTATGTGTACACTTCACTCAGTTTTTTCTAATGATCTCATCTTATGTCATTATAGTACAATATCAAAACCAGGATATTGACATGGGTACAATGTGTGTGCATATAATTGTATGCCATTTTATCACATGTAGATTCATATAGCTACCACTGCAACCAAGGTATAGACTTCTTCCATCACCACAAAGATACGCCTTGTGCTCCCTCTTTATACTCACGCCCACCCCCATTTCTCTCACCATTCCTAACCCTCTGTCACTAATCTGGTTTCCATCTCTATGATTTCGTCATTTCCAGATGTTATGTAAACGGAAATATATGGTATATGCCTTTTGAGATTGGCCTTTTTCACTCAGAATAAGGCCTGTGAGATTTATTCAAGCTATTGTGTGTATCAGTAGTCCATTTCCTCTTATGGCTGAGAATGATTCCCTGGTATGGATTTATCACAGTTTGTCTAACCACCTATTGGACATTGTGGTTGTTTCCACTTTTTTTTTTTTTTTTTTTTTTTTTGCGGTACACGGGCCTCTCACTGCCGCGGCCTCTCCCATTGAGGAGCACAGGCTCCGGACGTGCAGGCTCAGCGGCCATGGCTCACGGGCCCAGCCACTCCGTGGAATGTGGGATCCTCCCGGACCGGGGCACGAACCCATGTCCCCTGCATTGGCAGGCGGACTCGCAACCACCGCGCCACCAGGGAAACCCTGTTTCCACTTTTTGGCTTTTACAAATAAAATAGACCATTTGTATGTAATGCAATTATTGATATTTTAAGACTTCAGTTGGCCACTTTATTGTTTTCTGGTTTTGATTTTTCTATTTTCTTTTTCCTGTCTTTCTGTTGGTTACTCAAACATGAGTTAAGAATTC